GTAAATAATCCTGTAAATACTTGTTTTGTTTTCTCGCTTCACTGTAAATACCGGCACTGTTTCACTATTTCCACCTGGGGAGCAATAAAAGAAAAAAGCACAAACAATATTTTTTCGGCTGGGCCATCATTTTTTGTATTTTTTCAACGAACCCGTCACACTGATTAAAAACAGAAACATGGTTAAAAGTAAGAACTGGCCTTGTTTCTGCTCTTTAAAACAGAGTAATCCTCCCTGCATTTTGGGCGCTTTTATTGAATTAATATCTATTACAAGGCATATTTAGGCTTTGGTTCTTGTGCTTTAAAAATCTATAAAATTATTTAAAAACCACTACATGTTTTAACATAACATTGCAGCACAAATCTCCATGGATATACCTAAAGAAAATAGAAATTGGTATAATTCTGAAAAAGCTTGATCCATATATTTCTAGACGTAATATGTTCTGTTGTTGATGAAAAAAAGAATAGTCGAAGTTTATGCATTTTCGAATGGTAAATAAAAATAACTTCCCAGTAGATTGAGATCTTAATTGACCAATTATTGCCTTGATTTGACCTTATCAAATCAAACACTGATAAATCCAATTAGTTCAAAACTCTACAAATAACTACAAAGATTTTCTCTTTCAAAAACATGTAAATTTCTGTGTCTTTTTTTGTCTTAATGATAAGTGTTTAATAACATAAAAATGAAAAATATATCTAAATAAAAGTTTATGAATGTATAATTTGATGCGTAAACGGCTGTAATCCATATCCTTCATTTTCTATTTGATCCAAATAGCCATCTCCATTCAGGAATCTGCAGCAGATCTTTCTTATGTGTGAGAAACACATAAAAGCATTGTTATGGATTAAAAATCAACTTCCTTTTGTTTAATGCTAGATTGTTATTAAAATAGAAAACTGTATCTGATGTGCTACTAACGGGGTTTAAATAATTTCTACATACTGCAAAAAATGGGTCTAAGGAAAGAGTTACTGTTCGCCTGAATCCACTAGAAACACTGCAGCTTTCTACAGAGCTCAAAATAATTTCTTCATCCTGCTACGTCTGAGTGGATGTTCTTGTAAAGAGTTAAATATGCACAAGCTCCTGTTTGGTTTCTGCTCATGTAGAGCCAAACTACAACCGATCGGGGCCTGCTGCTGCTGCTGCTTCTGTCGGCAACTCCACCCTGCGCCGCACTGCACAGCTGGACTCATTGGGTAGAGAAACTGGAAAAGTTAGGTTAAAAAAAACTCATTAAAAATAAATCAGGGGAATTATTGTTGGGATGGGGGGGGCATGAATGTTTTAGCATTCTCAGCTGGCCCAAAGTGACGTCTGGCAGCGATTATGCAATCCTGTCCCCCAGACGAAGCAGCTGCCGCCACCATGCATCAAGTCTGTTTTTACCTTTTAAACCACAAACAATTAAACAGCCAGAATACAAACTGTGGGTTTTTTAGCAGAAATCCCATACAAATTTTATGATGTGGAATACAAACATGTTAAGTTGAAACTTCCCAGCCGTTTATTAAACATGGCCTCTTCTCTGTGTTTTGTTTTAATCAGTTTAAATAGATGCAGATTTCCAAATAGCTAAAAGGCAAGAATACTGAATCAAATTTCTTTACTGTGATATCACCGAGGAACCGACAGCATTAACTGTTGTTATACCTAATATATGGGATAAGTATGTTGCCAAACATTATGAAATGGGACAGATTATTCATTACTTTGGCTAGGCATAAATGTTTGAAAGTTTTCCCAGTGTTGAAGTCAGTAAATTTTCCTCCTCCTTCCCCCCGCCACCTCTTGCTCTGCTGAGGACGACTGCCCTTGAGCCAACACATGATTACTGAAGCCTTGTGCTGGAATACGACGCTCAACTTGTAGCTGGCATTTTCTGCTAAGGAAACAAATGTGTTCTGCATCACATTTGCTAGCTAAAGCTGCACCTCTTTGGACAAAAAGCGCAGAACAGTCTGCTGTCTTGGTGGACCTCCCATACAGGCCGGTGATGGGGTGGGGGCTCTAACAAACTGTCTCCAATTTGCTGAGTCTATTTGTGCAGGGATTCTTCTGCAAGCGAGATACTCCATCTAGCTCGTTATACCGAGGGTGTGGACTAAGTGGAGAAACAGACACATCTGGCGTCAGGAGTGGGAACAGATTTTTTTAAAGTTTACTTCTTACTGAAGACATGCTTGACAATAACTTGGCTGCTTGGTACAGGGATAAAATATGACATTTGATTTTTGGAAAGTCCTACATAAGTTGCAGATGAAAGCAAAGGGAAATGCATTTTGTTGTGGGAGCATTTTTTTCTCCCCTGACCAGGGCTGCAACACAGTTCGTGAAATTCTAGCTCCTGTTCCTTCACCTTTGGTCAGGTCAACAGTAAAGTGCTTCTAGATGTTTGTAAATCCACAGAAAGGTACGTGGATAATGCTGGTCGAATTGGGACTACAGTCTTCTGAGAAGGAACAGCCAACAAAAACAAAAAAAAAACAAGTTACATTAAAACACAAGTGAAGAAGTAATGTATGTTTGTTCATTTCCAGGAGGAGATCAGTAGCTATACATCGTGTTACACAAAGGATTATAAGATCTCTCTTCCTCTTCCTCCTTTTCCTGCCTCCTTCTAGCAACATTTCGGCTACGTTCACACTGCAGCCTGAAGTGACCAAAATCCGATTTTTTCCCCATATGCAACCTGGATCTGATCTTTTTTTATGCCAGTCTGAACAACACAGATCCGATTTTTTTCAAATGCGACCCAGACCGCTTGGCTATGTGGTCCTGAATCAGATATGAATCTGATCTTTTCAAGTGCGACCCGTGTCTGAACGTCCAGGTCGCATTCATCTGACCTGAACGCCATTAATACCCGACAAAGGTCACTATTCTGGGTCTCGCTATGAAGAAGCGGCAAGAAAAACAAACACCATTGCTGACGATGATTTGTAGAGCAGTGTTTATGTTTAACCATCTTGAAAAGATTGTGTTTTTATGGTTGGAAAAGACCGCTAGATACGCTCTGGCACTACATCCATGTTTACTTCCGTAAACACAGAGGACGCTGGCCTGCAGTGGTGTCAAAAGTACATACATTTGTTACTTAAGTAGAAGTATAGATACTGCAGTTTAAAAACACTCTGGTAAAAGTTGAAGTATCAACTTGACCTCTTTACTCAAGTAAAAGTGAAAAAGTATGTGCTCCAAAAACGACTTAAAGTATAAAAGTAACCTTTAAAAAAAAAAAAAAACAGCCAGATGCCACTATATGAATTTCGACTATTTCGAAAAATTCTTTGAGATAGGGCCAAGGTCTTGTTGGTCTCCATCTCCATCTCCCGATACGCTCTCGCCTTTGTCCAACCTTTCAGACATTTCAACATCTTGTTCTGAATCCTTCATTGTAGCATGGCATAGACAATTCATGTTTGCAGTTTGAGGAACACCTGCTTGCTTCTGCGGATTTCCTTTAGCTAACCAATGAGTGTTTGCATTATGTGACTCATCCAATTACACTAGTTTTCACTAGGTGTGGATGGAGCCAATGATCTGCATTGGATGGCGCACATGACGTGAAATAAATATTAAACCAAAGAAACATTAAACCAGGGGTAACCAATTAAAAATCAGAGGGGTCCAAATAAAGAAATTCATCAGCCAGTAAAGGTCCGGAGACATTTTTAATGATGTGTTACTTTAAATAGAATTTAACACTGAAATAAAATGAGGTGTTTACGCATCTGAGTTATAGATTGAATTTTTAAATAAACAAATATCTTAAAAAAAAAGAAAATGTTTCCATCTTAAAATCTAAAGTGTTTTTTTTAAAGGAAAGAACAACAATCTTTCAGTTTGGTAAATAGACAGTTTCCTGATTAACATATTTTTTAAAACACCTGAACTGACCGTTTTTTATTTTCGTTCTTTTTTCTGGCTTAATGAAACTGAACTCACAATCTCAGGATTCAAAGCCCTATGCCCTAACCACTAGGCCGCCACTCCCCTTGGCAGTGCAGAGCAGTGGGCTTTATGCGGCCCTGCAAGGCTTTAAACCTGGGTTTAAATGGAGACAACGCCATTCTCAAGCACATATCAAGATGCTCATTT